TTCACTTTTCATTGTCTGTTACTCAATCATTAATATTGAAAGTATTTAGTAAAATTGAGTTTAACTTGCGTTTTACCCTCTCAATTGAATATTTGATACCTCTTTATACAGGTAACCAATTTGAATGCTAGTCTTTCCTATTGTATCAAGACCACCCTTATATCAAGTAAACAAACCTTTAACCCAAACCAAGAGCTTTAAGGTTAAACTGTAATAATAGTGTTGCTCATCATTATCATGGTTATCATCATTATTATTAAGAAGATGATAATAATGATATTCACATCTTACAATAAGGGTTTATACAATTGATTTACATTTCAGATTCAACTTATCAGCTTTAATTGTTGATACGTTTTTTACGGAAACTGTTTTATCAGCCCTGATCTCTTTAAATTTAACAATTAATTTTGACCTTTGTTTCAACTTGCTTGCAATCATTTGACCAGTTTGGCTACAATCAACTTATTTGATTTCAACTCAACGATTGATATAAACTTGAATGTGAAAAAATATTTCATGATTCGTGATGAGCATTGATTTGTCACCAATTTTTACTTTTTGTTGAATTTTAACTTTAAAAATGAATTGGAAAGTAAAATGTTGCTTTATTTATTCAAGGTTTGGTTGAAGATTGTTGATTATGATGATCATGATTATGATGATGGTGATTATGTTACTGTTGATGTTGTTGATGATGATAATGTTAATGAGAGGCTCTCAATGAACAGTAACAAACAGAAGAGAAAAAAGTTTATTTTCAATTCAAAAACCATACCTATCATTAGAATCATCATTTTACCTGATTCTCAACAATTGCTTTTGTTCCCTTCAAAATAATCACCTCTTTACCTTTGCCTTTACAGCGGTAACAATAATCATTATCAATTTTTATCTTCTCCTCATCCTTTTCAAAAGCATAAATGTTTTCCTTCACATCTCATATTCATCATCATCATCATCATTTCTTAGTTAAATTATTATCTCTTTCACTTACATGTGATAACAATATTTCATCATTTTACCTGTTATATTCAATATTCACTTCTCCCTGTTAAATACTCTCTGCTTGATCCAATATTTACCATGAATGTTTCATTTTTTACTCTCTCTTCTACATAAGGTGTAACCAATGATTAATGAATAAACTGTTTCTACCTGTTGATTAGTCAAACAAAAGTTAACTTGATTATCACTTGCGCTTTTATGTTTCAGCTATGTTTCAAAATTGAAAGGTCAATGATATGTAGTTTATGCGATTAGCGGGAATTAATTTGATTGTTTAAAATGTTCGTTAATGTATTGTTTCTTTGGTCATAACTTGAATTTACAAGTTATCATTGATGATGATTGAAACCTATTGATGTTTAATAAACACCAGTGAGTCAGCTTCCTCCATTAATGTCAATGAAATTGACCATTTCTTTTTTCATCTTTTTCCGGTTCTACCTGAATGTTATTTAAAGCACCTTAAGGGAAGTGATCAAGGCTTAGGTCATGGTCATTATCTGAATAAAGCATATATTATAATATTATATTCACCGGAAGATTAAATTCAACCATCTAAACAATACAAAATAAACATCTGAAACCTGAATCGCATAATATCGTCATTTTAAGAGCTTTTTTATTCCTTTCCATTTGTTGATGTTTTTTTGTAAATCAATTCAATGGGTTTTATGAGCATTATCAAATTGAATATAATCATGATTTATTAGTCCATAAAATCTCAATATCCTGAGCATAAGGATACTTCAATTTCACTTTAATTATTCGTATGTGTATTATTGGGATTTGATGTGTTAATTTTAAATCCATTTCAAGTTTCTTGCTAATAAACAAATCGAAATAGAAACAATTATTTCTTTCCATAAAATTAGGACAGTAACGTGTTATTTTTATCATGCATCTATTTTTTTCCGGGGTTTCATTTGAATTGAATTTCTTTTGAATCTTGTCAATTAATGAATTTCATACTCAATAAGCTTAAGATTATTTAGTGGTTGATTAAGAAAGTATTGTGATTCCAATGAAAATTTGTGTGGACACTTTTGTGGTTTAGTATTTTTAGGTTAAATTTAACTTCTTTTTTCTGGCCCAATTGTGTTCAACCTTCAGTCAGTTTAATGGTCAGTCAAGTGTCATCATCATCAACATAGTTTCAGACCTTGCTAATCATTACAATCTAACCTAATTTATTGCCTCATTGTCTAGGTTAAACAGTTTCCATTTTGAGCGCATTTTTTCAATTCTTGTTATCGTTATTTCCATTGTGAGAAATAATTTGACACCCTGTTGATAACAGGAAGAAGCTAATAATTCATGAACTAATTCTTAATCTTTACTCTCAATTTTTTTGTGTTTCTTCAATTGTTCAATTATATTGCTTTAACTGTATTACGGTATAATAGTGGTAATACAGCCACGGACATTAAGTTTCGTACAGTTTCAAAAAAAGATACGCACATAGTTGATTATCTAATCAAAAGTGCCTTAAAATTAAGTCTAAATTGGATAACCAACTATGTTAGATGCTTGACAATGGCATTGCCGATAAAACCTGTAAATAAAGATCACATAAAACATGTAAATTGTAGACAATTTATGCTGCTCAATTTGAGAATTAAAGAAATTCAATCTAAACTCGTTACTGTATTTAAGAGTTAGAATAAGCTTCTCTGAAATTATTGCACAAAATTTGCTTTCATCATTATTAAAGTACCCAATACCATGTGGCCCAGTCGGTCATTTGGAACGCACTGAATTAAAGACAGAGACACACATGTAGACCATTAAATGATTTCTGATGCACAATGAAATGTGAACCTCTGTTTGTATTATATTATTTAAACGACGATAAGTATCTTAAACAGTTGAAATGATTGGTTACAGCTGTTGAAGAAGAAGGTTCAATGAATTTTGTGAATGTTATCTGGAAACTTCAATGATCTTGAAAAATAAGTGTTAGCCAGTTGTGACTTGATTCTGTCCCAATCATCATTATTTGGTTCTAAGTCTCATTATAATTTTTGTTACATTTAAATTTATTTTTCTCTCTGGGTTTGAATCTACCTTTGATAAATAAATTGAAAGGTTGCCCATTAAAGCAACCATGAACATGATTTGCTTTCAAGTTTTAAAATCTTTTGTGTTTTACCATTCCCTGTTAATAGTCATTAATGAAAATTTTGATGGCGATGATGATGATGAACCTGGTGATGATTATGATAATGATGATAAGGGTCTTTACACTATTAAATCAACTATTAAAGGATAGCTAAGAGTGACAAAAGCAACGATTAAAGGTGTCGAAAGAGAGAAAGAGAGAGTTTCTCATCATTTTCATTGTTATTCAACATTTAAACAAACCAGGGACAAGGTGATGATTATACTCATCATCATCAACCTTCAATCTTTTGTCCATTGACACTTTCACATTTAAATAACATTTTACATTCACAGAGTTTTTCACTAAAACGTGGATTAAGTTTACAGTTTAAGTTGAATGAATGCCTCCATTGTTAACCATTTAATGCCACCCTGACTGAAACACCATGAAATGATAATCAACAAATATTACAAATGCTATAAACATTTTTACATAAACAGTAACAATCGTTCATTATTTTTGTACAGTTTTACATGCAAAAATAAATTACGATCATGTTGAGTCTAGAAAATTGTTTCAATGTACGTTTAATGACACTTTTCATGTGTTTACTCTTAATAGCTTCAATAATTATTTCGCATTTTCCAATTGATTCAACTTGAAAGTTATTAAATTACTGTTAATATCAAGAATGATCAAATGATTAGGTCAATTTCGTGTAAAACTTCAACATTGGACTTTTATTTTTCAATCAATTCTCATCATTACCAGTTCACTATCTGACATCTTCCTTATGAACATAAAACTCAGATCAAATCCGTTTAATCTCTTCATGTTTTACCTACAGGATGAGATCAATAATCCAAATCGTCTTCAGGAATATTCGATAAAACTCAATTCGAATTGTTTCCAATTCAACTTTTATTTAATATTTTCATTTGTATCAATTAGTAAGATTGACTGTATGCAAATTGCTGTGTTCATTAGCCATGAAAACAGTTTTGTTGGCAAAATCTTTTTTTGCAATTCAGTTCAATATGCCATTTGATTGGACCCATTTATTTGGATTCTAGGTGTAAAATTGTTCCCATTTTTGATTGCAATTAATACCTATCTTTCCTTTTTGTATCATGTGTACAAAACTGATTGGTACAAAATGTTGGCGAAAAACATAAAAATGTAATCAACAATCTAATAACAGTAACCTGAATATTTGATAGAGCCAATGATTGAAGGAAATATCAAATGTAATTGCAACTTTGATACTGTTTTACCCTTAATACAGTTTTTGTTTTTTCATACTTGATAGTTTCTGTGTTGATGAGAAGATGAAACATTTTCTCACTTTTCTTCTTCTCATCAACAGAAAACTTTTAAAGCATCAAATAAGTTCATCAATCAACATTTGATCCAAATCAACTTGTTTCTATTTCCTAGCCAAATTAACCCAATATCGGCTTTCAAGAAACAAGGTGAAGGTGAAGGTGAGGTACTGAGTTTTATTTTGAATCCAAATTTTGACAGCTTTCTATTAGACATATTTGCTGATGTTTCACGCTTTTTGTCCGATCTAGGCTCAAGATGAAGTCCACTTTATAACTCTTTCTCAACTTCTGTCTTTCTTCCGTGTTTTGATTGATCATTTATGATAAATTTGATAAATGTTGAATTGTCTAAAGTGATCTTAACTTTCATCAATGATCCGCTTCATCATTTAATTTCATTTTGTACATCTTTTAAAATACTGCATTAACTATGATGCAATTTTTAATTTCAATCTGATGAAACTCTGTAAACCCAAAACAGCAAAAACATTGGAAACTTGCTTTCGATAAAATTCAACTTTTTCATGATGAAACAAATAACAAACAATTTATTTCTCTCATTGCAGGTCTTGAAAATAAATCTTGTCTATCTTCATGGTCTTTTGAAAAGGTTATTGGATATGAGCTTCGTAAATACGAGAAAAGACGATTAAATGTTACCAGCAAAAACGAATGTCTTGAAGCCTGTCTTCTTGAGAGTTCATTTAAATGTCGATCCGTAAACTATGATAATGGAACCGGTGAATGTTCATTATCTGATATTGATAGACATGCCATTCCAACGAAACCACCAAGGCGAGATTTTGCACCATCAATATCGTCTCCATCACAAACAATTGACTATTATGAATCTAATTGTATTGAAGGTAAGTCGAGATGAAGTTTTAACCACATAAATCAATCATGAATCTATTCCATCTGTCTGTTCATCAAATTAAGGCTTATAACTATAATTTGTTTATCTATTTTTGGATGAGCCTGAAAATGAAATTAAAATTAGCTAAACAAATAGAAGAAGCTTCAACAGGTAAAAGGGAAATCAATTCATCATCAAACAACCACGATGAGGATCAATTTGATGGACTCACAGGGTCAACCCAGTAAAAGTAACTCCTAGAGTACCTTAAGGTTCCCTGAGGTCAAAGTTTATATGCTTTTTAAAAATGCAATTGAAAATGAATACATAATTTTAGTTTTCTTTTGAAATCTTTTTTTCTCTCTGTTCAACTGAATACCACAGAATGAGACAAGTATTATTGATAATCAGCTAATGATAATTTGATGAATAATTTTAATAGTTTATTCCGTTTAGGCCTTTGCCAGGCTCACATCATCTTCATCATGTGTCTGATTTTACAATAGTTAATAAAGTTCATTGGACTTGTTTCATTCGATTAATCATTGCCGTCATTTTGTGAAATCTTGATTGTTCTGTCTGAATTTTTTTCCATAAAAAAAGATGAAAAAAATATCCTTTGGTCAATAATAACAAAATAATAACATCCTAAGGCTATCTCTTTACTTATCATTATCATTATTAATAGTATTAACCTTTAACTACATTGATTTAATCATAACGATGATTCTTTGTGAGTAAGCAAATGAACTCAAACTGACTTGTGAGCTTCAACAATCTTTAATATCAAATCAAATGAAAAGTAATTCAATTACCTGAATGATCAAATATTTTTTGATTATAACATGATATGATCGTGATGCTATTAACTACAATATTTAAATATAATAAGCAAACACACAAAAGGTTTTTATTGAGCAAAAATTAAAAGTAAAATGAAAAAATGAAAAGCGACTTAAACTTTTCAGTTGCTTCTTAAATCAACCAATTCTCATTAATCTTAATCAATTTAAATATTAAAGCTAAACATTGTTAATAAGTTTTACAGTTTTGAAAAATATCAAATTCCTTTAGATCAATGATTATATTAATAACTTTGAATAGGATTTGTAAATGAATGTAAAGCTGATGCTTCAACTTCCCTGTTAATCAGGTAAACGTGTAAAGAATCTGTCATTAAGAACAATCAATATCATTGATAACATGATTTGTTAATTTCAAGGTTTACATCATTTCCCTATCACTGTATCACTTCCGGTATTCATTTCATCTATACCTGTCTCCATGAACCGTTATTAGTTGTGATTTGTTTTTTGCCAACCACTTGAACATGTTTCTTTGGACATCATCAAATGATGAGAAATGATCAACTTGATGATGGGTTAACAAGTTGTTGATCAAAGTTTTCATACAAGAGGATAAATAGGAGAAGGTAATTTGCCATGATGATGATGATGATGATGGTCCTCTTAAATCACGATTTTTAGATCAATTGATGCCAATGATTATTCATTCTTCTTTTGATACTCCTTTTCATTTGACAACAGTAACACCATTGAAACAAGCAATGGTTGAAAAAGTGAAGTAAAAATACATGAGAAATGGATCAAATTGATAATTCAGGCGATTTAAATAGCTAAGGTCAAAAGCCCAAAGGTTTATCTTCTGTTTTTTACATTCAGACAATCATCAAATGTTTCCTTTTGTATTTCCGTGATTTTCCTATTGATATCACTTTACCTGTAAAAAATTAAAGAGTACAAAGTGATTGAAATCTTTACATGAAAATACAGAAATGAAAATCAATTGTCGTTTATTGTTGAGGTTGGATCCTACCTTTTACTAGCCAATATTAACCAGTAATCAACAAGATTGGTTACGATTGTAATAAATCAATCGAGATAATTTGTTACCTCTTTGAGGTTTAATAATGGGTGGCATAAAATGCTCAAGACCTCCCATTGAAGTCTTCACTTTCCCTAAACTAATCATATTTTTATGCAATAAAATGATTCTTTTTTATTCTGTGGATAAACGGTTTTTATTAAAATATTGCTAACTCGATCAAAAAGGTTAATTGTCTAGATATAGTTAAATTTGATTCTTAATTTGATCACTTAACGTGAATCAATGAGACTTAACTAGACAGGTAAACTGTAGACATTGAACTCTCAGGTCAACCTTCCTTTCCTGATGTTGATTTTTGCTGGTTTATTGATTTTTGTGTAGGAAAAATTAATAACTTAATTGAGATTAATTTTAAGTAGCAATTTAGTTGTTAACTAAGTTATTAAAGGGTAATTAATCAATGGTCAGGTTAATGGGAAAGGTGGATGAAAGCACGAGAAAAAATTAAAGGACAGTCAACTTGATGAATAACAAAGATGCCTTCAAGTTTAATTTGTATGCTTGTTGGTTGTGTTAATTACAAGTAACGTTGATTTAAACAAGTAAAAGATGATAAATTGAGTTTAAAATCCGTTAACGGTTAGTTAATCTGTTTTTTCATATTTCAAATTGTAAAATATGAAAGTCGCAAGCTATTATCAACTGATTAAATCTCAGAAAATCTTGAAACTGGCTTAGCTGGTGAAACCTTTTCAATTAATAACTGACACTTGCCTATTTGAAGAGGTTAAAAAGTTCATATTAAATTCATTTTAAAAGGTTACTTGAGATTTTAATCCATTTCAATGTTAATCCATAGAAAGCCTTTGTTTACTCTGATTTCAAGTCAATCTAACCTTCTAGACCTCTCCATGAAGTTCAGAGAACTAGAAAATGTTATAATGCTATTAATAAACAAGTTTTGGACTCTTGCCGTTTCTTAATTATCTATTGGTTCAGGTCTAGTTTCAATTATATTTACAGAAATATTAAAATTTTCAGTCACTTTTTATGAATTTTGCTGATGAAACCTGTTCAAGTTATCCATACTTTATTAATTTCGTCCATTATAATAGCCACAACTATCATTAACATTGGTTATACCATTACATTTGATGTCATTTTCATCATCAACTACAGTTAATCATTTTTCAGTTCATAAATTTATAATCTTGAATCGTTGAGCTACAAAAAGATCCCGTTATAATTATTAAAGAGTTAACTGCAATTTAATTTTACCTTTGTGATCACGCCATCAATGTGTGTATATTACAAGGTTCATTTTGATCCTCATTTTGATGCTCTTTTTCATGTTATTCCTAGTTATGTTATCACCAACCTAACCATCATCATCATCATCAGTAACAACAACTATTACAAAAATGTCATTTTCATTTTCAACATTGGCTCAAAATTTTCCCGCGGTCATCATGAATAAATGATTGAATCTCCTTCCTTCTTCACCTGATGTACATTAAAATATCCTGATACCGTGATTATTACCCTACCGAGAAAGCGAAACGAAACCAAGAATTTACAGGTCAATGTTCAAAATTGTCTTGATTACAGTTGCAATGATCACGGTTTCCTATCATAACTTGATTAAAGTTCAATGTTTAACAACAACTCAATGACAATAATGAAAATGTCAAATGAAACTCTTTTGATCACCATGCTAGACTTTAATTAATTGTTGACCCTTTCAGTCCTCTTTACAATCACTAGTTTTGCTCCCGTAGGTTGCTTTCAATTACCCTGTAATTATTCTGACTGGATCATTCATTTTTCACATTCTAAATGATAATCTATTTTGTCATCACTTGATTCAAATTAACCTGTAACCCATTAGTTTTAAACATGTTGAGAGCACAAATATGATTACCATTTCTTTTCCTTCCAACTTAATCATTGATAATGATACAGGTAAGGGCGATGATAATGACCTTTTTGTGTGTTTCGACAAATTATGATGACAGTGAAACTGAATAGTCCTGTTGATTGCTATTGATGGTAAACAAAATATAACAGTTATATTCACACAAAATGTTTCCAATTGTTGATGTTTCGATTCTCATCTTGAGGAAGACAATTTGAGTAATAAAAGGTTTATTATCATGTTTCAACACAATTCAGTTCAATTGTTCAAATGCTAGAAACCAAATTACCTGGGAACTCATCTCATGATTCAATCTAAAATTTATTAAAAGATTGTTTCTCCATTTCTCTTAATAGCATGGAAATGATCTGAAAAAACGGAACCAACTTGTCGATGCCAACAGACTTTGATTCATGATTGAAATTATTCACTTGACTAATTAACTTAATTATTAATTCATTTTTTACTCTTTTTATTCAGAACCTAAAACCATGTGTTCGTTTCAAGAGGTAAAGGGCAAAGTATTGAAGACTGTTGACTCAATTCATCCCAACATCAATACCACAGAGGAATGTGAAAAGGCTTGTCTCAATGCTATTTACCGATGCTTCTCTTATGATTTGGGTGAACCTAAAAATGGACGAGTTTGTCGAACCAGTCATTTAGAGTCTGTTTCATTGACTCACATCGAGGAACCTCATTCTGAAGTACCCGATGCTATAACTTATGAACGTGGACCGTGTTATAAATGTAAGGATCCAGTTGCTGTCAATTTTACCATTGAACCCTTTCGAAGGAAAAGTTTACATGCATTCAATTCTGTGAATCAATTATCATTTCAAGTTACTGTCACGTCCATTAGAAGCTACCTTGATAGACTTAACCTGTTAATTAAGGATTTTCACATTGGAAGCTTACTTTGAAATGGTCCGATGATCCATGCTAATGTGTTTTCACTTGTGAATAGTTCATTGACAGTGACATTTGTTTGACTTTTTTTGTTTTAAATGCTTCTCTATTGTTTCTTTTATATAATAGAGATGAAAAGAGTGATTTAATAGAGGTTAATTAAGTTGTTGTTTTAGATTTCATGGAGAGTGAAAAACCTAATGAAATCAGTAGAAGGGAAAAAACTCAAACCTTAATTCAATTTTACCTAGTTTTTCATGTTAATCTTTAAATTTATTAATTTAGTTGATTGAGTATTAGTTTTACGAATTTCCATTTGAATGTCAATATTTCATTTCTGATCATTTCAAATGATCCAATCAAAACTATTTTGTTCTCCTTTTTAAAATCATTTTCTAATCACTAATTTTTCCTCTTTTTTCCTCTTTTTCTTTCCATGTTGTTTGAACTGTGATAATTATAGTGAAAATTGATTGCCGAGCAAAGGAGATGATTGCTTCCATACAGACAACCAAGCTCTTTAATGGAAAGGTTTACGCTAAAGCAAAGCCAACAGCGTGTGTCAACGATGTTACCAATCAACTTGATTTTGATCTGGCTATGCCTTATCATGATATATTGTGTGATGTAAAGCAAAAGGAAGCCGGAACCTTCGCCAATGACATTGTCATTCAACATCATGATATGGTGGTAACCACCAAGGACATGGGACTTTCAGTCAACTGTAACTACGATCTGTCCAATAAAAGTGTCACTAATCAATCACCCATCTCAATCGAAGCGTAAGTATTTTACTTAAAGTATTTTGTGTTTTTTTACTTTCAATCTTTATTAATAAAATGGTGAGGATACGAAAAATAGTTGTTGACACATTAAATTATAATGAAAAATAAGATGTAACTTAACTTCAGATTTAATTAATCGCCTGTTTTATTACATGCAAAAAGATTGAAAAATGTTTCTTTTTCATTATTAAATTTCATTTTTCTCCTTCAATAGTGATGAACTTGAACGAGATGAAGCCAATGTGCATTCTCAGGTTGTTGGCTCTCCAAACATAACAATGCGAGTTGTTGATAAAGATGGAAATGACATCACCAGTGCTCAAGTTGGAGACTCTTTGACGATGCGATTTTCAATTGATGATCCAAGCAGTAAGTAGTCTCTTGAAAAGATTTAAGTTGATCTACAAAAATTAAAATTTTAATCACAAATTCTATCAAATTCTTTTTCAGGTCCATACAAAATGTTCATAAGAGAATTGGTTGCTGTTGATGGAATGGACGTTTCGGATATTTTGCTTATTGATGGAGCTGGTTGTCCAGTTGATATAAACATCATGGGTTTTGTATCAAAGGTTGAAGCTGAAGGAACTTACTATCTGGATGTTCCTTTCGATGCCTTCAAATTCCCTACTTCAGATATTGTCCAATTCCGTGCCTTAGTTACACCATGTTTAACTGGTTGTGCTCCTGTTCCCTGTGTTACACAAACTGCTGATGGTAAAGTCCAAGAAAGAGATTCTTATGGTAGACGAAGACGACGACGACGATCAGCCGGCAAAACTGAGGAAGAAAAGGATCTTTTAATGACACAATCCATTAAGATTACTGATGTTTTTGAATTAGATGGTAAACAGCGACCAGGTGATAAGAATAGAAATTCATTAGGAAAACTCGATGAATCAGATGGTTCCAGTCCAAATGACTACTTCCTTTACACATCAAAGGATGGAACTGAATCTGTGCGAAACATTTTCACTGGTTCTTGTATCAACATGGCTGGTTTCACAATTGCATGTGGTTTATTTTTGGTAGCTCAGTTAATCATGTTAGTTGTTTGGGCCTGTTGTTGGCAGCGTAAAATAAACTCGACGTATAATTCATCAAATTTCTGTGATAAACGACGCTCTTCATCGTCAACTCTTCCAAGTCCATCCTACATATACTCATATGGTGGTCCATCTGGTACTTTACCCAACAAGACCAGTGATTCAGCTTCCAGTTTACGATACTCAACAATGGGCTGTCGATATGAATAAGATAAATAATGATTTAAACACCAATTTTGGAACCTTGAAAGATACATTTTTACTTGGTTCGACTTCCCACCTTCATTCATTGAAAGATAAAACCACATTGAATCGCTCTTCCGGTGTCTCTGGTGCCATACCAAACGAACCCACCTAATTATCCAATAAACCATTTCACTATATCAATGTATCAACATTAGACGCTAAAAATGCACACCAATAAGGCACCAGAATCTAGTCACGTGATTGACGCTAAATATTTCGTAAAAGATCATATTAAAGTGGACCTGAACAAGACTTCATAAGTTATCATTCCTCAGGAAATGTCAATCTGGTGATATTGCCATTTAAAGATATCATTACAGATATAAATTAATGATCGGGTCCAATGTGTGTGTCTTCAACCTTATTTATTAATCTTTTAATTTAAATTTTGCCTCTCAATAAGTTTACTAATTATTTAATCAAACCATTATTTTAAGGTGAAAATTGTAAACTTGATTTTTCACTCACGAAAAATCAGTACTTACACATATCTTCAATGTTCATTTCTTACTTTTAAACCCAGTTATGAAAACTAAGTTAATTGTAACAACTATTCAATTTAGCTTCTCTGTTGAGGTAAACCAGTGATATTGTTTTGAGCCAACAATCAGCAACTCTACTTAATATAACTAATTTAAAGCAACTTGAAAACAATTAAACAAATAGAGAGACTCAATTGAATCAGAAAGGATTGTTGACATTTCAATGAAATTTAAAATTGAAGCCAGTGTTTAGTTTGTGTTATTGTTTTGGTCAATATCACAATTTTCATATTGATTGGTCGCTACGATTAACTTAATTCTCATTTCTGGATGTCCACTGTTCACTTATTGTCCTTGTATAGCTGACATCGCGTGATTATTTTGGGGAAAACTGTTTTGGGTGCAATCATCATGATACATAAATAGTATTACCAATTAATTTATTATATTTAATTTTCAATTGTCCAATCACTTTTGTAATTTTACTTTCTGTCTTTTTTATACTGTATAACGGTGTGGTCTTCATAATTTATCAAGATTAAAACAAATTTCATGATCTATGATTTTAAATCTATCAATTTTTCTTCGCAATAAAATAATTGTTTAATCAATGGTAATTCACAGAAAAGATGAATATTTTAAGCCCATTTTCGAAAGGTTTGTTCAAAGTCTACTCTCGACATGCAAGCCTGCAGGCGACCTGATCCACAGGTGATGCAGGTGTATCTTAGGTTTTGTCACTTTTACCTTAGAGTGTAAAGATATAACTCTTTGTTTCAGTGACACAAAAGAAGCTCTACTTTTCCACGTTTTTTTGTTCACCTTTCATTGAGATACTAATAAATATAAACTTTTTTGTGAAATGAATGGAAATAATTGTAATTCTGATAAAGGTAAGTTTCGTTTTTTATCGAAATCGATCTTAAACCATCTCTTTTTTTTGTTATGTTTAGTAACAATAAAAGTACAGCTGCCGGGTGACGATTATCATGATATTTCAATTGATTGGTCAACTGAAAATTTCAGAAGACAAATTTTTCATCAGGTAAGTTGAAAGAAAAAAGTGTGAATGAAGTTTGATCAATCTCTTCCTTAATATTTATAGTTTGCTGCATACACCGGGATACCAGTTAAATACACAAGTGATATCTATGCAAGAAGAAACCTGATTGAATGGAAAACCATTGGAAACATACAATTCGAAGAAATGTAAATATAGCTTCTTAATCATTTATTTTTTTAGTAATTTCATTTCTTTCTGTTCACTCCTTAGTGATGATGATGATGATGATATTGACTTTCTTCAAGGAGATTCCAAGGAAGATCTGATGAATTTCTTTCACGATGGCGATTGTTTTATACTCCAGACTAGTTTGTATCAAGGGAATGGTGGCCTTTACATTAGTTATTCCTTACAGCATATTGATTTAGTCAATGAAACTGGATGTACAATAGATTATTGTCATTACGGGAGTAGTAGAACTATTGCCGATAGAATGGCAAAATTGATAAAATCAGATCATATCCGAGCAAAAATGAAGCGAAATGTTTCTTATGGCTGGTTGGCAGACCGACTCTATTTTAATTTTAAACAATATAGTTATCTTAATTGTAGTGAGCGGCATCCGCGATTGCAGAGGCCATTTGACCTCCCTTATCTGCGAAATCGTGGTTAACTTAAATTCCTAGAAGTGTACTTTTCTATCAAAGAATCAGTATGATTTGTCACTTGAATTAATCAATTTATGTATTCTTCGAATAATAATTAGTAACTGGTGCCTTCAAACTGTGATTGTTTCAACTGTTGTTACTACAAAGCTTTACCTTTTTCATTTTAACTTTGTAATAATTGCGTTTACTTTTAAATGCGATTTGCAATACAAGTGTGTTTAACATTTATTAATCGTTTTGATTTACATTTTTCTTATAAATAAACAGATTAATCAATCAATGATAATGGAAATATTGATATCCATCTCAAATATTTATTCAAAACCTTTTTGCGACATGACCGGTTAGTTTCTTGAAAAACTGGTCTTTGACCTGATCCACAGGTGATGCAGGTGTATCTTAGGTTTTGTCACTTTTACCTTAGAGTGTAAAGATATAACTCTTTGTTTCAGTGACACAAAAGAAGCTCTACTTTTCCACGTTTTTTTGTTCACCTTTCATTGAGATACTAATAAATATATACTTTTCTGTGAAATGAATGGAAATAATTGTAATTCTGATAAAGGTAAGATACACTTTCCTAATAAATTCAGTTTGTAAATATACTTTTTCAATGTTTAGTAACAATAAAAGTGAAGCTATCGGATGAGGATTATCATGATATTTCCATTGATTGGTCGAACGAGAGTTTTGATTACAGGAAACAATTGTTTCATCAGGTAAGTCAAAAGAAAAGTATGTGAATTAAGTTTAATTAGTCTTCTCCTTTATATCCATAGCTTGCTGCCTACACCGGAATACCAATTCCATACATTTGTCATGTTTGGGTGAATAGTCTAAATGGTACTAATCCAATCACAAACATGGAATTCGAAACAACGTAAATTCTTGTTGTTATTCAATAGTTTTTTGTTTTATTATTTCAATCATTCAATCATTCTCTTTTGATCGATTATTTAGATATGACTTTGATATTCGTGGTGAACCCAAGGAATACGCAATGAGCGCCTTAAATGATGGCGACTGTTTTCTACTTTACTCAGAGTTGGAGTTCGGTTTTCATTTTGACTCTTCTGGTCTTTGCAGTATCCTTCATTTAGTGCATCAAGATTTTGTCGATGAAACTGAATGTAACTCTCAATACTGTCACTACTTGGGAAGCAGAGCTTTTATAAATATTTTTGCTGGCAAGATAAAATCAGATTACTTACGATCAGTTCTGGAGCCCGACTTTGTATTCCGGACTAACAGTAATCGATTTTCTAGCGAGTTTCTCAATTTGCAAATTATAAATTTATTAGATCTACACTGTAGTAGTCGACCGCCTTTCTATAGAGCTCGCTACTTACGGAATCGAGGTTAATATGAATGGAAACTGAATATGATATTTGATATGAATATGTCTTTCCTTTAGCTTAATAAATAAATAATTTGCTGTTGTCCAATGAATGAATGACAGAAGAATTTCATGAAGTAACGAATTTTTTTGACTTAAAAAGATTTCTTATAATGCTTACAAATGAAATTGACTTTATCAACGGTCAACAGTAACTGTTATTGAAATTTTGAATATTGCAACTATTGCGATGAAAACTCTTTCACTGAAAACCCGGAAAGTAATCTTATCAGGGTCAAGCATATTCGCAAGACACATAAAATTAATCTTGATTTGTGGAATTGTAAGTTTCAGTTTATTATATTTGAAAAAGGTTTTGCGCATATTTTGGTAAAAAAGTATAAAAATACATTTATTAATAGGAGCCCTAATTTATACATCGAATTGCACATCTATTTTGATTGCATACAAAGAATTACTATTAACTAAGAAACTATTCTAATTATCAACGATTTCAAAACAAAATTACATTATACAATAGCTGCTATTAACATTGCTATTTTTACAATAAGTTGCATGAATGGGTTGGAAGACAATTTTTGAGTGATTCAACAAAACAATAATTAAAATAATCAAGAAATTAAGCTCTCGATCAGTTTGGTTGGAATGTTTTGCTGATTCGATAATGGTTTAACCCCTTGAGTCAGTATCTTAACCAATGATACCAGCACCAGCGCCCTTCTTGCCAAGTCCACCAGCAGCAGCGGCAGCTCCGGCTTTACCAGCGTAACCAGCTTTTCCAGCAGCACCAGCATATCCTCCGGCTTTTCCAGCGGCTCCAGCAGCACCAGCGGTAGCACCACCTAATATAGACGAAAGAAAAGTTTAAAGTTAGTTTCCTCGAAGGCAAATTCGTAGCAATATTCAAATAAAGATCTTACCTTTCTTGCCTCCTTTGTAACCAGCTGCACCTGCGGCACCAGCGAATCCTCCCTTTTTGCCTGCACCACCAACAGCACCACCAGCTGCACCATAACCAGCGGCTTTACCGAATTTGAATCCTTGGGCCATACCGAAGGTCTTGACGGCACCGAATTTCTTGTTGTAACCAGCACCTCCCTTCTTTACGAAACCTCCCTTCTTGCCGAATTTCTTACCATAGGCACCAGCAGCACCGAATTTGGCGGCTATATGAGTAACGGAAAAGTTTATTTAGTTTTATTGAATTTTTTAGCTTCGATTATATCGTACCTTTTTTGCCTCCCTTGGCACCAGCGGCTCCGGCAGCTCCATATGCGGCTCCTTCATCAAGAAAAGCAATCGTCAGAAAATTGTATTCAAAAACACTTCACTTCATCAAATCTTACCTCCTTTTTTGCCAGCTTTACCAGCTTTGAATGCTGCAGCACCTTTGCCTCCTGCTTTGAATCCAGCGGCGGCACCACCCTTCTACATGATTGTAAATTAAGTAATTAATGATAAGCTAACTAATTTTAGGAAATAATGAAAGTAATGATAACTATCAAATCTAACCTTGAACTAAATATTAAACTATTTCTCAAAATATTATCTTTTCCTTCTTTGCTTAGAGCAACTACCGGAAACTCAACTCTAATTATAAAAAATAATCTACTCATGATTATGATTCAATTTACCTTTCCAGCTTTGTATCCAATACCAGCACCACCACCAGTTCCTCCAACACCAGATTCAGCAGCAGCTAAATCCCGTCTTTCTCTTACATAGGCGACATCAGTTTCGGTATCATCAAAATCACTGTTAGTCTCTTCAATGGCAAACTCTTCTTCAGCAGAAGAGATCAACATTTGGCTTGAGATGAGAAGGAGTAAAGCGAAATAATGGTAGATCATCTGTAAAAATCCAAGACAGAAAAAGAGACAACAAAAGTATTAAAACATGTATCCAAAGATCACAAGTAAAGGTGCAAGATTTGGCGAACCAGCACTAGGGACAATGTTTTATAAACTGTAGTTCGTACCATTTTCAAAGAGTTTTTTGTTGGTTGGCAAATCGAAGAAAAACTTAAAGTTTAAAAGATATTTGTATTTGTTGTTATTTTTAGATGTTGTTCACTGTTGGAGTTGTAAGTTGATTGTGATATCTAACTTGAACCTAGGCACGATTTATATATGTTCAGTTGACTTATGGTTAAGACCAAACCCCGGATTTGAAGTTGACTTGGTTTATTGATTAACATAAGAAAGTGAGAAACGAGGGGAAAAGAGAGAAATAAATAAAGCCAAAACTGGTTGCGATCAAACCAACGATATGCAGTTGTGTGTGGACATGTTTATACAGGCAAGTGTCCTCCTAATAGGTTATACCAGGATACATAACTGAATCGTAAAGCGTTTAATATTGAAATAAATAGCTGACAAGCAAAAAAGGCGACCTTCGTCGTTTCACATCGACAACACAAAGAAAGAAAAAAATGAAAATAATAAAGCAAAAGAAAGGTTATGATTATGGTTTGCTTTACTTTCTCGTCTGGGTTGACTTAAGTTTCCCTTTTTAGCCTAACAAAAACGGTAACTACCATTTAACTACATTCATATTTGCGACATTTTCACTTTTCCTTAAGACGATTTTGTCCCTTAGCACATTACAAGGATAGGCAAGACTCTGTATCAATTCATTTACTATCGTGTTCACACTTAACATACACACAACACACATATTCAGTAAATTGATATTCGGAAAGTACGCCATTCATCCGTTCCTCATCTTTTCGTTTCACTTTGCTTGACAAAACCAAGGTAAATTGATGAATTTGGATATCAATTCGACTGTTTAATAACATCCTGATGGTCCAATTATCAGTTGTGAGTTGAAGCACAGTCCGTCTGATTGAAAGACGAGCCCGGGTTCACTCTGGTTCTCTGGTTTTCTGGTCACCCTAAAGGGTCAATTCATATTTATGCAAGCATAATCATTGTACTTTGAATTGTTTAAATACTCAGGCTTCACACCCTTGTTTGAACTCGATTCAATGGTTTATTATTGACACTTGCACATCAATGTTTGTCATCATTATTAACCAGTAAAGCTAAGCAGACAAAAACATTGTAAGCTGCCATTCATTTTTATCTGGTTAATTTAACTTTCTCTATTTATTCAATAATATGTTTTTCATGTAATAATAATGGCAAAAATATCATTAGGCTTCATCAAATAGAATAATATTTGTTGTCAAATTGAGTTGTTACAATAAAGAGCAAAAATTGTCAGTTCATCTAATTTCAATTGAAAAACAACGAAACAAGTCAAATTTAAGTATTTAACCAGTTATTGAAATGCAATTTTCTAATTAAATTATAATTTCCAATCAAGATGAATAATAATATGAACAATAGAGGCCATTTTCGCCATCATAATCAATTCCTTCATCCTGATGATGCCTATTACCGTCAAGAACTGTCTTCGACATCAGCAAATGTCACCGATGAGAACAACTTGAAAGGAGGATTCAGATTGAAATTATCCAATGTTCGCCAGTTTCTTCTCATCTTGTTAATCTGGTCACTCAGTGTAACCATTTTAAGTCTTTTAATCTGGCTGATTGTTTTACCTCAGTTCCCTTTGTTAAACGTTATTGAAACATCATCTGGACGCTTACTAGGAACCCTCGAAACTCGCCTCGGTAAACGGATAGTCATTTATTATGGTATACCTTATGCTAGGCCACCAATTGGCCCTAGACGGTTCACTCGACCCGAACCTAGTTTGCCTTGGAAGGGGGTTTATAAAGCAACAACCAAGCCACCCTCTTGTTACCAGTTTGCTTCGGATTCACCAAAAAATTTGCTTCAAAGTGAAGACTGTTTATACCTTAACCTGTATGTTCCATTGAATGAAGAGGACCAACAAGAAGACGAAGAGTTTCAATCATCGAAGATTAACGAATCAGAATCAAATGGATTGAATGAAGGGATCAATGGTACAGCCAGTAAACCAAACAAAGGTAAACCAGTTTTGGTTTTCATTCACAGTGGAGGTTTTATGGTCGGCTCTATTAACCAGTACGATCCGTCAATCTTGGCTGTTGAGGGTGACATAATTGTAGTTACAATTGGATATCGCTTAGGTTTATTTGGATTCATCTATTATGAATTGACTGGTGAACCAGCTCATCAACAAGGTAATTTAGGTTTGTACGATCAGTTGTTAGCCTTACAGTGGATCCATGCCAATATACAACATTTCAAAGGTGATCCAGATAATATCGTGCTTTTTGGTGACTTTGCTGGCGCCCAATCGGTTGGGTTTCATTTAATTTCAAATCGATCACAGCCTTATTTTAAACGAGCCATTCTATTGAATGGAAGCCCATTCAATTTAGCTTTGGTCATGAGTCGAGAGCGCAGTCTTAATCGGACAAAAGCCTTAATCAATGCCACTGATTGTTGGTCAATTGATGATAATCAAACTCAAAATTCATCTAAAGCTGAATTACCAATTACATCGAGATCAATTGACTGTCTAAGATACCTGAAAGCACCTCATTTGATTCAAATTGATCGCTCTTTGTACCAAAAATCAAAATCTTCGGCCATGTATTTATCTTATTATCCTGTTGCTGAGGAAAGTTTCTTCTCTTCTCATCCATTTGAATTGATTGAATCAGGTGATTATGGGCCTCAGTCTGAAATAATGGTCGGTGTCAATGGACATTATGAATCTTGGATGCAAGATTTGGGTATGTATCAATATTTAACATAATCATCCTAATCAATAATAGCGAGATAAAATTTGGTTGATTAACCTTTTCACAAACGCTATAACGGTTGACTGAATGTCAGTTTTTTTCAAGTTCATACTAACCTTCAAGCTAAACTGGTGCAATTAAGGGTAAACACTTTTAAACATTGAAGACGCAAATTAGATTGATTAAGAAAAGGCTAATCCATTTTAAGATTGAATTACATTCATCGAAATTGTCTAATCTTAGATTTTGCAATATGATTGGTGACAATTTACAATTAACCCAAATTATTAATAATTGGCCTTCTGTTTGTTTTGTTTTCTGCTGTAAAAACAGGTTTGACTGATTTCATTTTGAATGGTATGAAGCTTGGTTCGATTGAAATAACACCAAAAATGATAAATCGCTTAACTAAATTTGGTCCCAATATTGGTCAACATTATTACGAGATATTAACCCAGGTCATTATGGAAGACCATTCTGCTGTTTCACCAACTGATTTAGCCGAGAGAATAAATTCATTGACACTTGATATGGCATTTAGATGTCCAAATTACTTTCTTGTGAACAGTTTTATTCAAAACGAGACTCGATCAGTTTATTATTTTGAATTGCGAGCTTCAACTGGCTTTGAATTGATGAACAAAATGTTGACTTCGTTAACCAACAATGATACTTCATCTAAAAGTACTGATGTTAGCATGATATTTGGTTACCCTTTGGAATCAATCGCAGAAGACGGTACAGGTGGTTATACTGAGGATGATGTTGCCTTTTCCAAGATTATGATGAACCATTGGGTTGAATTCATCAAAAACGGGTAATTCAGTTGAATTCAAAGAGATTTTTCTTTATTAATTGAAAATTATATTCTCCTTTTGTTTACAGAAAACCAACTTCAAACGATTCCTGGATTCCGTGTAAAAATGAGCAACAATATTATCGTTATATCATAAAAAAGAAAGGATCCATTTTGAAGTCCGGATTCGTAGAAAACGAATGCGACAAATATTTCCGAATACTTTATGACATTGGTAAATCAATTGGTAAACATTGATTTGTTTGACCAGCTTTTTCACAATGAATACATCTAATTCAGAGACATTTGTTTAATTGTTATACAATTGATGAATGAAATGTTGAGAAGGAAAGAGAAGGAAAGAGAAACAATAAATGTAACTATGAATTGATGCAATGGGGTAAAAAATAGGGCATGAAAATAGAGAAGATTACATTGTTTTCCTTGTGATATAATTTGATGATTATATTTGATATTAATGGAGATGAAAATGAGTGTACAAATGATCATTATATCCAAAGAATGGTCAATAGAATGGTTAATAGATAATTGACAAATAAATATGTAAAAATTGTGTACAAAACAAAAAAGTAGCTGAATTGATATTGGTATGGACAAAGAAGAGCAATGGCTTAATTGAAGTAATTAAGTTGTTGCCTCAAAAAGGTTGTTTAATGACGATGCTGCATCAATGGATTTTTGATGCACAATGGGTGAGACTAGAGCACGAATAAAAAATAATTGTCGATCAAGAAGTTTCTGAATTGTGTTTGTCCATTTAAGCTTTTCCGTAAAGTTGGCTGCCTTGAAGACAATTAAAGGACCATCAAATCTGTTTGAATGATAGTTTTCCGTGGTAAGTGAAAATTTGGTTTCATCCGAGGTCCAGTCACTTTCAAGTTGTGATATTTTGTTGGTCGGTATATGAAATTTGTAGATGTATTCAGAGAAAGCATGATGACGATTAGGAACTTTACAGACCAGCATTACCTTTTCAAATAGGAAAATGTATCGCTTTTTCAACTGGTAATTAGATGATGTTGACACAGAGCTCATTGAACGAAGTACTTTCCTACTCAAATGTTTACTCTCATCATGACTGTAAAAATTAGACGATTCAAGTTCATACGAGGAAGTTAATAATGACGGCGATTGACCCACAAAAAGAATCCCTTGCATAATCAGGTTTCCTTGGGTCATTACTGAACCCTCATAGCCAGCAAGTCGGGTTAAAGCCATCATATCATTTGTTGTCTTGGGAACTGCTTGCATATACTTTAAAGCTGACCGTAGATCATTTAGTTCATCAACAAGGCCAGCTTGTTGGGTGTATTTCAGTAAATTGGATAATATCAATTGGTATTTCATTATTCGTTGAATTGGTTTGATTAGTAAATCTGGTAAACGCAATTGATGACCCAAGTGAAGCCGAAGATCCTGAAAGATAGAACAAGAGTTTTTTGTCAATTAACAGTGAATTTTGTGCATTTTTATATTATTTATTTAAATTTTACTTTGAGCAACTAAGGATAAAGAGATTAATCCATTTTCTAATAACACTGAACTTTTCTGCTTTTCAGAATCAAAGGAAATGGTTAACTAAGTCTTTGCCTTGATTCTTAATTTTGTTCAATTCGTTTCTTTTGTTGAACGGATTTTCCAGTCTCCTTTTTTTGCTGGTTAATTCATTTATTTTTTTCCGGTTACCTTGTGAAATTAAGGAAACCATAGCAATTGCATTTAACAACAATTGTTACTATTGCTTTCGAGCACTTTTTAGATGGTTCCTTGATTTCTGTTCAACTACATGTCTGTATTAGGCTTTATTAAATACTTTATTAATATTTATATGTTGACAGAATGAAATGAAGTCATTGGCAAAAAATTGGGGTTCGACATCAAGATTGTAATGAAAGTAAATCAATTAAAATGCATGAACATCAAGTTATGACAATGACCTCTTGAAAAATCTACGTTTTTTACATGGAAAGATTAATATCAATACTTTTGACTGACTTACCTCGAAATAGCTATTAAGATATTGTTGAACAATGAATTCAGATTTGTTTTTGTTTTGACAATAAACAACGTAAATGTTCAATTTTTTGAGCCAGCGTTTAAAAACAGGTCCTAATGGACCTTTATTTGAAACACATTGACGGACTTCTTTGACCATGTAACTGTTGAAAATAAACAAAAGTAAATTAATAATAAATCATAAAGCGGATGAATTTTTAATAATAAAATGATCATTTAAAGATCAACCAAGTGTGATTATTAAGGTTAAAGTCAATTCAATGATTACAGGTTCAATGGACGAGTATTGAATAGGAAAATAATGAGAAAAAAATGCATTAAAATGAAATGAATGATTAAAAAGGAAAATCGGAAATTGAATTTGATAAAAATTAAGAATTGAGATTTGGCGGATCAACTATTCTGATGGCTATTTTTAAAATCATTCATATTGAAATAACTGTCTTGTTGTTTGATTTTTGAATCTTAACCTTTCACTTTGAGTTCATTCTGCCGATTTAACTATTGTTCATTGGTTAAAGATGTTGATTAACCTTTAAGGACAATCGATTGATTGTGATTCTGTAACCATTTTCGTATTATTTGCTTTTCCCATCACAAAATGATTCAAAAAATGAAAAAGTGTTGAGCTATAAGGTGAATAATAGACTTACTCTCGATGCCATTCATAAATTGCTTCAATATTTCCAAATACAATTCGGGCCTTTCCACCCTTCAAATCTTCCGGAACTGGATACGGTTTATTATTTTTCATTTGTTTTATATAACCATTAATAATGGAATCCAAATGAGTAACATAATCTTCCTCCGTGGTCAGCAACTCTTGAAGGAGGCGATCTCGACGCATCTCGTACCGTTCACGTTCCACATTAACATTTGACTCGTCGTTACCACTTGACCGTTTAGAGTTACGTTGAATTGATAAAGGCCGGGATCGGGGACGCTCAAAATAATTCAAATTGTTGACATTTATATTGTCATCAGAAGTGGCATCATTACTGTTGGTCAGCTTTGTGTCAGTCATTAAACTGTCCTGCTCAATAATTGTCAATGGTAAGCTTTCATTTTCAATGTTCTCGCTTTTTGCTGACTTCTCTTCGTAACTGCTTGAAAATAATGATTCCTGGTGACAATTGTCGTCAATTATTTCCTCATTTGTTGGTTCAATATTCAAATCTTCCTCATCGTCATCTTCGACCACAACAGCTTGATCATCATCGTAATCCTCTTCGTTTGATTCTGGGTTCATCGAAGAAGACCATTTTGATAGAGACTCGACGGGAGATTGTGCATTTGCTTCTTTCAGGTCAGTTTCCTGGAGTATCAACGAGGAAGAAAAAAATTAATCTATAGTTAAATGAGTAATACTTGACATGTTTGAACAACATAAAGGAAGAATGATGACCAAGAGAGGGAGTGAGAGAGGGAGAGTAAAATGGAAGATTAGAAAGTGCTTAAGGTAAGAACAAGGCTTGACCTGTTATATTAAAATGTAGATACTGTGGCTTATATCGTTTTACATGTTAGATCAAGTATAAGATACTTGCATCATCAGCTAATTTGATCAACAATAAGCATAAATGTAAATGACCAAGAAATCATTTGATCCAAGCTTAACAGAGGATCTAAAGAGTGTTAATGGAAGCAAAGAGTGACAAAATGACACCAAAAGTATTGCAAGGTTAATGATTTGATAGACTTTAAATGAGATCAATAAGTGTTTAACGAGTTTCACTGAATTTTAGAGGCCAAAACCATTGGAGTGATCATATGAGTGGATTAGCAACAAGTGATTAGCCTAATCATTGAAAATGAATTAAACATAAGGCCTGATTGCGAATGGAATGGAAATAACAAATTAAGAAGTCAAGATTTGTTCTTTCTCATGTTATTTCTTGTAAAATGAAAAACTGAGCATAGAAGCTCGCTCATCCCTGTTTAATGATCTTACAGATCTTAAAGATTCTTGAAAGCGTTTCAATCAAAAACAAGTTACCAAAAAAAGTAAAGAGTAAGTAGGAGGAGGAAAAAGATGTTAATAATGATGATGATGATGACGATGAAGGTGGGTGACAGTAAATCGATAATATTAAAGTTGATTTGAGACGTGAAAGCTATTCAATTCTGTTTTATCCGAATAATAATCGCCACGACCCATCTTCTAACAAGTTTTCAAATGTCCTAAATCCGTCCAAGCTGATCATCCAACAAATAAGGGAGAAGTGTGTTTGAGTGAAAGAGAGAAAGATGAAGACGAGTGAGTTTGAATGTATATTGAGTTGACAAAGTCGTAGTGAGACTCGATCAATCGTAAAGTTAGTCTCTTCTTAAGAAACCTTGATCAAATGAAACGTAATCAATAATCAACAGCTAAATCATCAGTATCGCCATTTTAAAAGTCCTTTTACTTTTCCAAATCTTAATTAAAGTTGAATCCACAATATATTGATATTGACACAACAGCAGTTACAACAGCCATCTAAACATGTTTCAACCAAAGCCTATGGCAATTTGTCTTCTCCTTATTCCCTTGATTGCTTGTTTCATTCATTTATCAGGTAAAAAACTGTTTTATCATAACCTTTGGGCAAAGTGTAAAGTGAATACAAGTTTGTACAATTTGCCAAGTGAACCAAAATGAATCAAAGTAGAAAGGCGAAAGACAAAGAACGGAAATTAAAGTTGACTTTAAATATGTCACAATTCGTTCCATTATTGTTTAATTTCAACTTGTTTGACCATCTCTAGTTTAATATCTTTTTGTCCATTATTAGAATCAGCCAACAAGACCATTGACCGAGTATGTTCATCAACCGCAGGTAATAGTTACAAAGCAGATCCAAGGAGTTGCAAATGTTTCTACAAGTGTAATCAAGCTTTCTATCAAGCTCGACTTTGCTGTGAAAATGATCTCTACTTTAATCCAGCAACCCAAGGATGTGATGATCCAAAGAATGTAAATTGTACAATTGTAGCGGAAGATCTTCCAGAATATCGGGATTCGAGTAAAACTGAGCTAACATCAGCCAAACGTAAGCAAATCTTTAATCTTTTAATATTGCTTTGATTACCAATCTCATTTGTGAACATAAATTGTTTCCTTTACACTCAACAGCTCCTGTTAAGCCCGATTTGGAGATTTGTTTCGAGGGAATAGGACATTATCCCGATCCTGGAAATACCACTTGCTTTTATCATTGTGATGCCAATAATTACGCTCATCATCGTTGCTGTGCTCCAGGTTTAGCCTTTAATCCAGAGATCCGAAGTTGCGATTGGTGATTAAAACATTCAAGCTTAAGATTTTCATAAATAAATTGAAATGTAAACATTAATCAATAGATGGATTAACAATTTTTTCAAAATGCTATCATGCAGCTATCAACATTTTCTACAAGAAATTGAATAAAAATTTAGAAAAATTACAAAACGTTTCACATTTGATGATCATTTTGAGATCCATAAAATATTAATATAACTTTCAGTTGATCTAGAGTCGAATCTAATAATTGATGTGATCTAAATTTTTACCAAAATTATAACCAATTGTAACTTCGTTGTTAACTAAATAACAATTTCCATTATTAAGGTCATTCAATGATCATTTGATTCTTTAATTATCAGAGTTGGAAAGACCTACTCATTGAATATCAAAGTCATAAGATGAAAAAATGTAAAAAATGAATATTAGTGATAACCTAGTTACAGGAATGATTCACGAGAATTTAGATCCAAATTTTAGACAATTCAGAGAATCAAGATTGTTTCTATGATATAATTTCTTGTTTACAGATTGAAAATTTCATTCCATGAATTGTGTGGATTAAACCCAATAACCAGTTATCAAATACTGTTTATTACATGCTCTAACAGTGTGAGCGTCATTGCATTTAAAATAAATTGATATCTTGGACTGAGCTTAATCATGAGCCAGTTATGCGAGTGCATACATTGATTAAAAATTGAATAAACAAGTTATTGCAAGTGATTTTATTCCCACAAAATTCTAATGATGAATTTCGAAGAAAATAAAAGATTGAGAGTCAAGATTATTTGAAGGCACAAGGAAGCTATTGTTATGGTGATTCCATTTTGTCTGATTTCTTTGATAATGAATTAAAATTGTGGTTTTGGATGAATCCAGAAGCAAAATTAGATAACAGTTTAACAGGAAATGATAATTCGAGAAACGTAAGGAATTTTCACCCAAAAAATCTATTGTCAGATTATTTCTAATTTTTCGTTAGTGGTGGTGCTGAAAGTATCAATTTAGTCATTTTTTATGAGTCAGCAAAGAGTTGATATCAATAGCCTAGTAGTTGGCTGTTTGCGAGACAAACTAACCCAATAAATACGGGAGTTTGAGTGTTTCAGCCTGACTTTTGGAGCAATGAATACTTGGCAGGCAAATCGATAAAGCTTTTCAAAATTCAAGTTAATTGCAATAAAGTAAAATGTAACAATAAATGACAAAACAACCTGTTCTAGCCTTAATCCGAAGTCCAATGATCGGAGTTACAAATGTAAAAAAGCTGTTATCAAATAAAAAGGTAAACAAGATGGGTGATCATGATTGATAGTAACATTAATTTAAGTCTGAAATTATCTGATTTGTAAAGTATTATTACCAAAAAGAAACAAAAATGGAACTATCATGGAGACAAATGTCAATAACGAACGCCCCATAAAAATGATTATCAAGGTCTTTGGCTAAAATTGTAAATTTTTAATCTAATGCTGATTGGAGTCGATAATTTGGATTGATCCAACTGTAGGTAATTGGCAAATATTAATTAGAAATCTGAAGATTGGATACATCAATGATAAGAAAGGTGGTTGACTGTTGAAACCAAACAGTTACTTGAATATTTGGATTGCCCTACAAAGGGATTGTTTGGTGAACATGATGAGGGGTTAAGAAAAAAGAAGAAGCCTAGACTTGGATTAAAAAATGACCTACCAGTTCAATTGGATTCCATGAAGAGCTGAGGTAGAACAAAGATCTTCCAATTGTTTCCGGAGAAGTAACTTTGGTATCACTAAGATCGGTTATGTCTTTCTTACTTGATCGCCTTTTGTTGAGATGATCAGCTAACCAAACCCAAATTCCTGGTTTGTCAATAGATCCAGATCGGCTGCCGATAGATGAGTTTAAATCGTCCGAGTCACTTTGACTTAACGTTACATTTTCATCCATTTTTAATTGGTAATATTGATTAGAGAAGAGAAAGAGAGAGAAGAAAGATAATTTTAACTTCACTTGAATTGGTTGATTCACTTTTTGAAAATATGCGTTAGTCACTGGTTCAAAATGGCGAGAGAGAAAAAGTAAACAATGAGATTGGAGAAAACAGAAGTAACCGTTTCTTTTACAGTAACGTCTTTTGTCGGTTAATTTATATTTAGCGATTAACCAATTGTGTTAAATTCAACTCTGATACATGTTGTTTGATACTGTGTTAATGGCAACAAACAGCGGACTAAAATTGAACAACGAGAGATGTTCAATTCACTTTTAGATGGTTTAACAAAATTTCAAACAAGGTAATGATACAAATTTTATCAATCAGTTGGTCTTTAATCTACTTTTGAACTTCAAAACAACATAATAACATTGATTGAACACTAAATTAAAATGATGAAACTAAATCAAAAGTTGAAATTAGCTATACAAGTATACATTTTGCGTACATGGCGACTGTTGTTTGTAGATGTGTTACTAAGGGGATTTGCTTTTTTTGATTTTATCTCAATATAACTGTTTGATTTGAACAATTTTGATTGATAACCAATTTAGCAATATTTTTTGTAATAAATGTTTCTGTGTTTTTATTTGAGTAAGTACATTTCATAAGGATAATCAATTGATAGAGTTAATCAAGTTGTTGGAATAGAGAAATACTATTCAGAACATTTTCCTTTTTCTCCAATTTTATCACTTTGATTATGCTACTAAAGTACTACTGATTAGGTAACTAGGATGGCTTTGAGGACCATTCTGATTAAATCTATTCCTGGTTTCACTTTACCTTCAACTTGGCTTTTATCACATCTCTTTCTTGCCATGTAATCTTTGCAAATATATTTGCAAGATTAAAACACTTTTTTTATTGACTGAGCCACAGGTCACCGGAAGCCATGATATTTACGACATTATTTCACGACTAATTATTGGCTACAATAAATGCAAACTGGGGAAACATTGATTGGTTGAAACATTGATGGAAAGAAAGGTTTGCGGAAAAGCTTTCTGGTTAATACATTCATTGGAAAATTAAATGGAAACAATTACTCAGAATTTAATTACTTAACATAAATTCAGCTTCATAATTAACTAGTAAAGTAATTACTTTACAAGAATTACAGATAAGTCATTGATTGTTGAATCAATTGTATGTTCTATTTGAATTTGTTTTCTCTTCCTTTGCAATGTGAAGTTTAAAGGTGAACAGCAAGAGTTGTGATCATTGATAATTCAATTAACATGAGACTGCTTCATAGCATGTGCTTTGAGTATGTTTTCAAATGTAATCAGAAAATTACAAACCTTTTCTTCATTCTGTTGACAAGAAAATCGCATTGTTCATCAGTTTCAATTGATCCGATTAAAATATCATTTTACTTCTCTGGTAAATAAAAGGGTTAAATTAGTAAAGCTTGGACAAACGCATAGATCAGGAAAAACTTGATAGTAATCAATCTAATGATAAAAAAGCCATTTAAGCTGATATCATTATTTTGAATAAGAAATCAGATAATGGTAACACGTTGAATTCTGATGAATGATCCTTTGAAACAAAGTAATTTGAGACAAAATTCAGATCTGGTTGGACAGTCCAAAGACTGAAAAGGACATTTTACAAGTCAGGTCAAGCCTAATTGCATGTTCTTCCCAAACCGAACCTTGTCTTTAATCAAACGAAATGGTTTTAAATTTATTGCCAGATTGCTTCAATTGGAAATATGATTAGCCTAGCAATTCTCTCCAAATTCCCAGATTTAGCAAGATCTTTTAAAGAAAGTCTAATCTTTCAGCTAATCTTAACTCTAAGTATTAGTAATAGTTTAATTTGGCTAAGCAAAAGACCCATTTGACACGATTTCAACTTGAATAATTGATCACAATTTGGTACATACATGTAATAAATATCAACCTTTTATTGAAATTTTGATAATAGCAGATAAATTTTGATGCATTATCAAAAAAGAGCAAGGTTAATTTAAATTTGGTTTGGTACCTTTTAATCAAGCTTATCAGTATTTTTAAATAAACATTTTCAGGAGTAGAAAAATTGTTGAAACAATTTACATACTTTTGTCAACACAGTCGATTACTTCGACGCAATTGTGTATCAATTACCATGGCATCCAATTCTTGAGCATCATAACCAATTAAACTTTTGAGATCGCAGACAAATTTGTATACATAACGTTTACCATTAACACGTGCAATCATATCGCCATCATAATAGTAACGTAAAGCTCGACTTAATTTATCATAATTCATTGTAGGCTTATTTTTCCTTTGACCCCATAATTGTGCAACCATTTCAGGTTTAATAAATTTAAATTCCCCTTCAACACCTTCCCAACGTATAAATTCCCGATAATCAGCATCTGTCAATAATTCCAAGAGAAACCTCCACAATTGAATTTGTCCATTATTACCTGACCTATTGCCTTGGCATAAAGGCTCAATTTTATCCAATTCAATTGTTTTGATTGCTTTGGCTGAATTTCTTTTGACACCTCCAATTAGCTTTTTTTCTTTTAGTGAAAGACATGTTTTCATATTGGCCCGAGTTGAGCTGGAGTTGGTATATAATTCATCATCGTCATAATCATCCCCTGTTTGTCCAACCCGTCCACTCTGTTGATTACTATTAATGTTGTGAATAATACCAGAATTTGAGATGATACGGTCATCATCGTACTCTTCGTCATCATCTTCAGGTTTTAAAATATCAACTATGGTAACCGTCTTAGTTTCCGATTCAATTTTAAGTTTCAAATTAATTAGACTGGTTTGACTTCTGGCTCCATCAATTAGATTACCTTGATCAATAATTGGTTCACCGAAACACAACTGTCTATCTTGCAAATAGAATGCATATGTAAACAAATCAGGATAATCATTTTTTAAAACATTACATAATTTATCTAAGGAAACATCAATATCAACTCCTTCTATAGATGCTAATTTATCTTCATCTTCTTCTTCGATTCCATCCTCATCCGTATACATTAAATCAAAATCATTGACAACAGTGTTATTAATGTGATGGTTTAAATTTTGATTGTTACTAATATTGATGATATTTCCATTGGTTTCCACCATTGTTGGAGAGGTTGTAATTGTTGAAGTTGTAGATGGGCATGTGGATGATAGTGAAGATGATATTAAAGATGATTCGGTTAAAGTATCTGTAGGGGAACCATTCATTAAACTATTGTTGATTGAAGCAACCAAAGCCGATGCAGCAGCATTATCTTCAACCAGCATGGCGATCGGATCAGCCAATTGGTTATTGGAGCAAGTTAATTGTCTTAATAATTCATCAGCATCGATGGCAGCTAAATCCGAGTCATCTAAACATATTGTATCCGCATCCATTTTATACAAATGTCACAAAAAATCACTTTAAATTAAGACAATATTGCTCTAAAAATATAATGTTAAATTATGGTGATGGTGATGATGATGATGATGTTGTTGTCGAAAAAAAACATAAAATAAAAACATGTGAACAAGCAGCCTGCAAGCAAGGTTTGCAAGCTTAACCAGCATTACTATTACCATAGTAACTAACAACAACTTTGCCGTATAAAAGGCGGTAAAAATGAATTTTTAAAGATTTAACCCAAAATTTAACCCAAAATCTAAAAGAAAGCAAAATCCGTGAAAATTTAAATAATCTATTCAATTAATTCGTAAAAACACAAACTCAACTATTTACCAATTATTAATAATCAATAATCAATCAGTTAAATGTAAATCACACAAAAAATACCATTAATCAGAGCATAATATGGATCTTCGTCGTTTGTTCAGCAAGAATATTCAATTTAAAGTCTCTTCACGTGAACATTGTTCAATTGTCCAACCAAATAGTGATCGAATTACAAGTCTAAACTTCGAAATTTGATTATTTCATGATCAGAGACAAATATAATTCATTTACATTATTGGTCATGATTTAGATGAGTATGAACCTAAAATTGTTCAACTCAGGCATTTGAACTTTACATATGGTTGAAGTTGAAATCAACCAATCTCGATCATTCAACTCCAAACGGTGATTGACCTTATCTTCACCCTCTTCATCATCCAATCATTATCAAATATCATCTAAATCATATGTTAAACCGATGAAATAAGATGAATCTTGTATGATTGAATGATTACAGTATTTATTTTCTTGTAAATTCACAAGAGATTCAGTAAAACCATCCAAGATGTTGCCAGTACAACAAATACAAATATATTGAATCTTTTAACTAATATCATCCCTGTGTTACCTAGGAAACAACCAAAAGTTCAAACGTAAAATAACTATTTTTAGTTTTATCACTTTTGCTGAAGCTCAACATTAACCAATCCAACTCTCAGCTGGATAACAGATTTGAATCACCCAATGATTATATTATAATGGACATTTTGAATGAAAAAAGCACGTGAACCCCAATAATATCAATAGGAAGCTTTTAATGTAACAAAAAAGGTTAATTGAAGTTTCTTATTGAAATATCTTTTCCTGATTTGTTGTTCAAGTTAATCATGTAATAATCATTTGAATATCTAAATGTTCATCTAAATGTATACTTACGTTAGATTATTAATAGTTGAAGCTTGGATTTTGCTTATAAAATCGCATTTATTAAAATCCTTTCTTCTAATGTTGGGTTTTGTACATTTGTTTTGTTTGTGTACCAAAGTTACCAGATTTTATTGTAATCTGTTGAACCAGGTTTTGGGTTCTCATGAAAAGATCAAGGTTAATGGATGATATTAACGTTGATCAACGATATTAATCTTCGATTGGATAATTGGTTGAATTGATTAAAAGAAAAGGTTGGAAAGGTAATTTAATAATAAACAAATTACATTGTTTTCCAATTTAAATTCAACTTTAGGCCTTCATTGAATAAATTGATTCTGTTTGAATCTTCAGTCTAACCTTTTGTTTAATTGAAATGACTTTGAATTGAGGATTTTAAAATGATTAAAATTGTAACTGTAAATGAATGGTTTATCAAATTGTTGGTTGTGTTTGAAGTGAAAAAGTCTAACATTACATTTTTGATGATGAGTTAAACTGATTTGAACCAGCAATCAATGCCCTTCTAATTGACCCTCAATCCTCAATGAATTACAGTCACTGTAATCATCATCATCATCACGTCATCATGTTGATCATCTTGATGATTGTCATCTTGTAAACAAGATTAGTTGATGTCAACATTTTGATCAATAAAATGATTACCTTTACGCAGCTTCAAACCCAAAGATTGAATCGACTCAACTGAGTTGGATGAACAAGAAAAAGGCTAAAACAGTTTATCATCATGAGGACGATAAAAACGGAAGAAATAACATTTTTGTTGTAAAAAAAGAGAGTAAGTTTTGTTATCATCATCTTGTTCATCATCCAAATGTTCATATACCAGAATAAGTGAGATTATTTCCATTCACCTAAAACCTTATACACATCCGAAAAACAGTTTCAAGCTTCAAACCGTAAACATATTTTTCAGACTTTCTCGGTTTCTCCTCGTTTCCATTAACCAACTCATTGTTTACCAAAGTTAACTTTATATACCTTTACATAGATTCAACTATTTATTTAAACATTTATTTTAATTGTCCTTTTTATTTTAATTAAACTTCACTCAACCAAATTTAACCAAAACTATTCCCCACTGATCTTCACCACTAGATTAGTATATTTTACGTTAACCCGTTTTTTGTACAATTAACAACCATTATGGCAGCTTTATCCTGTTGTGGTAACCAACCGACACCAATTATTATTGGACTTTTAGTTACTTATTCAATCGGATTGATAAATTGTTACACATTGTACGGATCAGCGTTACCTTCATCGCTTCCTTCATCAGCATCATCGGCAGTCTCATCAAATGGTAATGCCAACTTGGGTCAAATAGTTTATCGACCAAACTACAATTTACCTTCTTCTTCTTCTGTTTCTTCTTCATCGCCTGTTTCTTCTTCTCCATCAATTGTTGCTCCATCCCAATCATCCCAGCCTTCAACTTCATCTTCATCTTCTTTACCAGTCACAGTTTCTCAATCTTCCTCTCAATCCTTGCCTCAACCTTCCAACTTAAATCGCCACTCTTCCCTGCCTGGAGGATTAACATTGATCCGAGGTAATTCAATTTCTGATGATAACTCATTAAGACGACCATCTTCAAATTCCATTCATGATTATTATGACACCTTTCGACTTCCATTGGTAGCCTCTGGAAGGGAGAAAAGTGATCTCGGTGTCGCCAATAGTGGAAGTGGTCGAATTGTTTTAAGTGGTTTGCCCAATGGATTCGGTAATGGTAATAAGCAAAGACTTGTCTTTGCTCAACCGTCAACATCGCCAATTGATTTTGACTACGTTCCCTACATACAAAGTGATTTTAATCCTGCTTCATTATCATCAGCTCTTGCTGCTGTTTCATCAGGATCAGACCGTAATGGTGATTTATATGAAGAAGCTGATTATAATGATCCAGTCTATGACCTTAAATATGATCCTATTCAAGATGCTAATTGGCTCAATGAAGCCATTTCATCTTCATATCGACAACCACAACAACAACAACAGCAACAGCAACCACAAATATCAGTTCTTCCTTCAGTCCCATTCCTCGCATCATCTCTACCTGACAATTCAGGTTCACTTCCATCGCCCAATTCAGATGAGTATTTGTCAAACTTAATGTTAACCTTTATTGTTAAGGAATTGGAAAGAAGCGCACAGCAACAGCAACAACCTCCGTTATCGTCACAATCTTCTGAACCTGTTCAACATTCAGTCAAGTTACAGAAACAGGCCAATGTTGAAGGTTTAAAATCATACGAAGGCTTTGGACTTGAAAAGAAGTCATTTAATCGAGATAAAGGAACAATCAAATCAGGCGAAAATCAAATGGAATCAGCAAAAAGAATTGAACAAAGAGGACAAAAAGAGTTCGCGATGCTTAGACCGGCCATTGAAAGTAATGGTAAGGATGATATTGATTCTCAATCATCTCTTTCATCTCAATTACAATCAGTTTCAGCAACATTATCCACAACAACAACCACAACAACCGAAAGATCTGATGAAGAAGTTAATCAATTGCGATCCCTTCTTCAATAAGCCTAAACCCAATCAAGAAAAGTGATCAACAATCAGCCCCAAATGAACATCAGAAGGACAATAAATGAAATAAAGATTGAACAGTAATAACGATCTCAACCAAACTGTTGATTCTTTATTTAAGTTGTTTGTTTGCTTTGGCCATTTTCTGGTTCAAAATGCTAGTCTGGTTTCAAGCCATGCTCATCATGAAGGAAGACATAAAGTAATCATAATCTATGGCTAAGCATTAACAACGACATTACAATCATTAAAATAATGACAATAATGTTTAACTGCACGAAGTAAAAAAGGTAAACATTGAAATTGTAACCACAAACAAATTTACTGTGAACGAGTTTACATTGAATGAAAAGATTCTCAGATGAAATACACAAACCCAATTCAATCACTATTAACTCACACCTAATCAATTAACCAAAATTGACATTTGACCCAAAAAATAATGAACCAAAACCCAGAAAGTAACCTTAATAAGTCAATCTAAAGACACTAACATTCACATAATTGATTCACATTCACACAAGATTGCAACCCAAAAATGGATGGACGTGGTTCACAATAAATTCAATTGTGATTATGTTGTTAAATAATGAAGTTAACATTTGCCAATAATCATATTCTTTTGATATCCTCACAATCATGAGAAATGAAAATTTCCTTCAAATTTAATTATCATTTCAAATCCCAACAAACCTGAAATTATAACAAAAAATAACTTTCCATAAATGAAATGAAAAATGTTTATATTGAATTGTTAAATGCTTTTTTCCTTCCCAATGATTATTGTAATCACAAAATTTGATGTAAATCAGTTTCAAAGATGAAAATGAGCTTGAATTTGTTAAGCATTTGAATGATTTTTATGATCAACTACAATTAAAAGTACAAACAAAGGCGAGTCAAAATGAATGTAAAATTGAAAAACAAAACCGAAACCTTATCAAACTCAAATGGTGATACTTACATTACATTTTAAATTGATTCAAGTGATTGAAACAGTGAGAGTAAATCAATTTACAAAATGTAAACCAAAGAAACTATTATATCAAAAGCAAAATGTTATGTTATGTTGACCATTTCGGACATTATGGCACAATCAAGACTCCAATTGTTGTTTAAAAATGATAAAAGACAAATAAAAATGCGAATAAAATTGATGATAAAACTTTAAATTCTTTTCCATTCTCATTTCATTCCCTGTTATTCACTATTTCCCACTGTTGTACTGATCATAACAATCAAACCAATTTCATTTTACCAATTTACTTTTCTTTAGACATTCAGTCAACTTTGAAACACGAAATTCCTCGTAAATGAATAGAATTGAAAAGTTCAAGTTCCGTCTCAGTTAAGCTCTTTTATTATTCAGTTGAAATCGAAACCAATCTA